TTCCAGATCTATCGCCAAATGTATCTCTAAATCAAACAACCTCAAGATCAGTAACTGTAATTGTAGGTTCATCCCAAGAAGCATTCTGGTTAGGGTTTCTTTTAAACAATAGTTGTCCCTTCTTAGCTGCTTCTTCCTGCGCATCACATATTATTGCTGAAATATGAGGAGCTTGGGAAGGCTCATCCTCAACGCGATTATCAACCCCTGATGTCTGACCAGTTGGGATGGTAACCGGAAAGGCTTGAGTATGTAGATTAATTTTGTATTCATCAGCAGACATTTGATATTTTTCATCGAAGTCTTCCTCAAGCTTCTTCTTTAGCTCAAAATAACTTGAAGTCAAAAGACTGAAATGGTCTTGAAGATCAGAAATATGCTTTGACTTTAGAGCTTTGTTGTCACAACTGGAAATTTTGTGTCATGTAATCCATACATTCAAGCTAATGTGAATCAAAAACTTCAATCAAATACAATATACAAGCACTACAAATAGTCATCAAACAATTGGAGACCCTAGAAGTTTTGGTTAAGTCCATTTTGGACTAAGATTTCCTTATTGGATCCAAATGGACCAATAAACTTCCAATTGGACTATCATGGGCTTAGAACCCTAATTGGGCTCTAAGTGGACCCACACTTATTTATTTCAACAATTTTGGGCCATATTGGGCCTAGAAACGAAATGAATTGAAAGCTTTGAGCCATGAACACCCTAAACTAGTTCATCAAAAATAGAAAAATCATACTACATTCTTTTAAGCATAAAACACACTCTAACTAACTCTAACTTTGGGCTTAAGGGAAAAAGCCCAAATTTTTCTTTTCCCTTTCAAAAATCTCGGCCCAAGACCCAAATCCAAGAAGGTGAGGAAGAGTTGACTATTTGCTTGCCACCTCACTATTACCCATAGGACCTCCATGCATTATTTCCCATTCTTCCATGCAAATCACTTCAAGATCACATCTCTTCTTCTCTCCTCTCTCCTTGTTTCGGCCGAGAGCAACACCACACACACACAAAAATCTCTCAAACTCTCTCTAAAATTCACTCAAGGCTTCTTCTTCTTCTTCATCCAAAAACTCGAAATTTAGGTAGCATTCAAGGAAGTTCTTCCACATAATCATCATCTAAGGTAAGGTTTTGTTTAGATCTATGACTTGTATTCCTTATTTATCAAAAATCTCTTCCTAATTCATGCAAAAATTATGATCTTGCACTCTAGAAACCCCATAAACCCGAAAGTTTCATCAAGGAGTGCAAAGGCCAAAAATCACTTCATTTCTTCCATTCTTTCTTCCAAAAACCGAATCAACACCCAAGGTGAGTTTCATACCCCCTTATTTTCGGTTTTTATAAGTTTTTGTGGGGGAGAATACAAGAAAAGGTGTGATCCATCATTATGTGTATGTTGTGGTTGATTTCTATGCTTACATGTATGTTTTGTATGATTTTATGGATAGATCTAGGGTGATATGCTAAAAACCGAGACATATATTTTATCATAGCACAAAATAGACTATCACATGCAAAGTATACTAAGAAAATGGCTAAATAGCTTAACACCACTTAACTTGGGCTAAAAACTCATTTTTTGACAAGAAATGTTGAAAATACAAAGTTGAAGGGCCTAATATGAAACATTTCGAAATCTGATGGGTGAGATGAACCAAAACAGTTTGCATAATGTATTTTTCTGAAAATATACTATTTAGAGGGTTAAAAACATAAATTCCAAGCTTATTGGGCTAAATATGACATTTTCGGCCCAATAAGGCCCAATATGCGAAATTCTCTAAATTGGAGGACCAAAACTGCATTTTTCTGTAAAACAGTGGGCTATAAGTGTTCCATATGCTTTTCAAAGGTTTAAAATGCTTTCCCAATTTAAAAGGGACCAAAATTGTAAAATTTTTCCAAATTGGGTCAAAAATGTAAAAGTTGCGAAAAATAGGGGCTATAACCGAGAAAACTGAAGATTCAAGGGCTTAAACTGTTTTCTATGATAAGTTTGCTGGAAAAATACTTATGTCAATAATTTTTGGTATAAAAATGTCAAGAAAATTGATTTAAGGACCAAACCGGAAAAGTTTTTAAATAAAGGGGTAAAAAGAGTAAATTCTTCAATTAAGGAGGGGCTGAAAACAGAAAATCTTCAAGGCTAGTTAAAATATGCATTTTGCCTAATTAATGGTAATACGCTTGTCGACGAAAATACAATATACTACAATACCAAAAGTCGTTGTCAAACGAATTGGTTCGGTCTCGAACCAATAAAAATCCAAAATCACTAACACGACGAAGCTACGACATTTCGATTCATAACCATAACGATTACGATTACATACGAGTGTGCACAGACGTCTACGCACCATCTTTGGGCCCCAAAAGTGTAAAATCTTGTCCGTTGAGCCTAGCTAGCCCAACGACCTGATCTTAAGGCCCGAAGGTCTCTCTCTCTCTTACGAAGTGTTGGGTTTTACCGACCCTACATGATGTAACAGGACTTTCAATGGCAATATGCTGCTGGTCCCCAAGGGTCCTTCAGTGCTGCTAGTAAAGTCTGTAACTCACGATTGCGAGTTGGGCTTCGGGCCCTTCGCAATTGCATTTGGTCTCGGACGACGCGGGGAAACCCTGAAGGTTTCGTACCTTTTTCCTTCCCTCCGGACGTGGGACTTAACAAGTCCGGGAGGATCGAGACGCGTGAAGATTTACGAGTGACGCCTATAAGGATCGCTCGTAAGGTTGTTGACTTGTCGTTTTCACGAACGCTTGTCCCAACACTTCACCACCCTCTGTACCCTCGATGCCTCCGGAATACAACGATACAACTATAGGAAAACGTCGGGTTTTCCTGGGATTTCAATAACGATTACAAATTACCGGTCGAATTTCACAACTCTTACGATTACATTTATAGAACTCAAACAAGCATACTCATGGATCAACACATATTTTTATACCATTTTATTATTAGAAAATATCGGATTTTCTGATGGATTTCAAACAATACATCGGTTTTCAAACTTTACTTATGAACTCACCAACATTTCATATGTTGACGTTTTTTTTTAAATACTTGTATTCTCAGGTAACAGATAAAGTGAAGATGATTTGTACTCTCTGACGTTTTGCTGTGATTTAAGTAGTACCAAACAGTTATTTCTTTGAATGTAATTTTTGGAACAATGTAATGTATGTAAACGCTACCAGTTGTATCATTTCCAAATGTTGGTGATGTTTTATGTTATGTTTCATGTATATGCATTGTTATGGTATTCAATGAGTCACGATAGCCCCCGGACGTTTCCGCCGTCTGGTTCGGGGGTGTGACAGGTTGGTATATAACCTAGACCCTTTGATTGATTTTGTTTAAATTGCATGCAGTGGTTTATCATATTTGCAACTACCTCACTCGAGACATCAAATTTCCTAAAATCAAAATCAGCGGATTCAAATTTGCCCTTTAAAGATTCAATTTCAGCCACTAGTTCAGCGTTTTGTTTCATTACATAATCATAATTCTCGCATTTATTATTGTAGTCTTCCTGAAGTCTCCTAAAGTCCTTTATTTAGATTCCAATTGGGCTTTAAGTGGTTTTTGACGTTTTCTGAGTTGGTAACCTTCATATCTAAGGTCTTCTACTTCCCTTTTTAGTGAGTTGTTAAGTTCACGGAGAATTTTAAGGTTTTCTACTTCACTACCTAATGTCTCAATTTTCTCATGCAGAATTTTAACATAATCAATACAGGCTTTAGAGCATGATGGTAAACTTACCTCGGTTGTATTAAGTTCATGAGAAGAAGATACCATCAACGCAAACTGCAGCTCCATCATTTTATCTTCAGCTGCCACAGTCTCTGCCGGAGCATTATCACTGACTTGTACCAGGTGGGCATTTTCAGGTCCAGACAAGTTCAGGTGGGCATATAGGGAACTACGACCGGAAAGAGTTTATTGCCGTAAGGTGTTTACGGCCGTAGACTCATTACAGACATGTAAACACACAACAAACCTACCCAAAATACTCTATCAATACGTAACCACTATTACAATGCAAAGCCTAGACTAAACCACCAATTGGGCATTTCAAGTAAGGTCTCAACAAGTGTTTGAAATATGGAGATTTCTTTTTGAGATACAGGGGATGCAGTTAAATTTGGGTGAAACTGAATATATTTTGATATGTGGTTTAAGAGTTGGTCCTTATGTGGATTTACTCTATGACGAAAGAGGTGCGTCAAATTCAAATCTTCGTGCTCGGTTGTTCCCAAACATTACTAATGCACATTTGAGACTGAAAAATTTAGAAGACTACATTATGTCTCTGAATTATTTCTTACTTCGGAATGAAAATGTTGTAATGTTTATCCATCTTGTTTTTATGTTGAAAGGTCTCCACGAACGGGACGTTAAAACGGGCATAGAACCGTACATGAGATTTTCACCTTATACAGCACCCGCGGCAGTATACAAGTTTGTTGATAATATAGATGATTGGAAAAAATATTACATTTAAAGATTATGTATAAATACAATAATAATTATAATAAATAAACTGAAAATTGCATATTTGCATGGGGTACGTATTTCTGGACCTATACTTCGGGTTGATGCGTGGAACGTTTGAGAAAATAGAAAATTTTAGAATATTCAAGCAGGTCAATCCCGAATCCAAGAAAGTACACAAGTATATCGTTGTCGTTTTATGCTTCCGTTTAAGGTTAGTTTCTAATGCATTTAAATAATTAACATATTTTCGTTTTTTTTACGATAATAACATTGTACTTCAGTTTGTACTATATAATACCATTGTACTTTCATTTTTATACTATAATAGCATGATACTTACCTTTTTTTTCGTAGATATGGATTTTGGAAACGTTCCCAGAGGCAACCCAATATTATATACACACGCCGACATAATTGTCATGTATGATGTCGTGGAGAAGTAAAACACAATTATATTGGGTTCAATGCTGTCGAATAATCAACATGTATGTGGTATGCTTTTTTATATTAAGGGTTATATATAATTACAAATTCCAATATTTTTTCATGTTAAACTAACAATCTGATTTTTGCAGCCTAACAACCAACTTATTTATGTCGTGGAAAACCCAATAGAGCTCATGTTGTCGTTTTATATTCGCTACGTCAGTTGGACTCTTACCCATGAAGGGTCTCCCATACGACAACATAGTCCATCTATTGTTGCCTCGCCTCGTCGAAGAAAGAAGTACAAGTCGGAAACATCTTCGACTGAATCTGCCACAAATGTTTCTTCCTCGCAACAGACTGAAGTAGAAAGAACTTATATGTACAGCGACACATCAACAAGGTCAGTAAAGAAGATGAAGATGAGCACAAAGGCATTAGTGAAGCGTCTACTAGGCATCGTGGTATACTTAACTTCTAAAGTAGAATGTGTATTACATTAAAAAAAAAAAAAAAAAAAAAAAAAAAGATGAACCAGATACACGGTTTGGAGAGGATGAGAATATGGGACATGAAGAAGAGGAAGAAACATATTACCATAGTACATATTTGGACTATGATGATATATCTACTCATGGTTTGGAGGGGGAAGTTAGGCGTACACCTACGCACGTTGAGCCGCAATCGAATGTGGGTGAACATCACAAAAAACGGTGACTCATATTGTTAGGCCGCAACAAAAGAGGGGTGTTGCATGGTATCAGCGGACGCTGTTCACAGTGGTACAAAACTCATATTCAAATTATCTCTTGCTGGAAAGTCTTCATGTTGCTAGTACGTTGGGTTTTTTGAATGAATGGAATATGATCTCTTTCAACCTCAACACTACACATAGGTTGCATATACTTCCAGTGGATGTGGAGTTTTGGTCGAGGTTACTTGCAGTTACTGACTCTGTGTGGTTATTTCTTCGGTGACATTCGTTAAATTTTAACTACTTTTTTAGACGTTAATTTATATAAATAATTGTAACATTCTTATCTTAAAATATACAGTATATTGCGATATGGAGTGGCTTGCTCATGGAAAGATGGTCGGCAAACGTAAGGTGGACGATATACCCTCAAGAACTCAATTTGCAACCCAGAAAATCATTTTTGTAGGAATGTAGCAAATGGTGTTGGAAGCTATCCTAAATGGAAGGCTGTGGGTATGGTTAGTTAAGTTTAATAGTATATATATATATATATATATATATATATATATATATACACACACACACACACACACACACACTTGATTTTGTTTGGTTGCGGGTTCTATTCCCTATAAACGTTATTGGTGTATATTGGTTTTTGACAGTGCTACATTTAAATACCTGAAAAGTACGCATTTATGATTCAACACGATCTATGAGTTGTTACTCAAAGTACTTGACTGGTGTAGAATTCAAAAGTTTTGGGGTTAATATTATCTCAGAGCTAGATGTCATTGAGTATTGGAATGATTTTCCCGATGGACACAAAGACAATGCAATTGTGGAGTTTGTTGATACTATAGACGCGCTACAGCAGAAATATATTAAAGGTAGATGGGATTGTAGAGTATTCATATGAATGTTTAGGGAAATGATTGTTCAGGGGTACCAGTGGAGATTGATAAGCCAAGTAGAGATGTGAGATTTCTCTACATAAATAAGATGACAAATATTATTTGGGATTTTATATAACTTGGTTTTAGGAACTTTGTATATATTAATATGAAATGCCTGTTTTTGGTAATTTTGTTTAATACAAATATGTGTTTTATTTATTTTTGTTGTTATATTTGTTTCATGAACTGCCAAGTCACTTCTGCGGACTGTCGTTTCACTATAAAATAATTCAAAAATGTGTATCATTTCATCTAATCTATATCACTTCATCTACTTTGTATCTATTACAATGAGTATTTGCTTCTAAGTCGTGCATATATTAATGTCTACGAGTACAGCAGTTTTGGACCATTCATGGTTGAACAAAGCTATTATGCGGGACCATTCATCACCAACAAGGCAATTAGGGGGAGCCATTAGTGGTAGACCCTCGTAACGACAATCCAACATTGTGTTAGGACCAACACCTCTGTTGTCTTCCATGAAGATGTACCATTTGTTGGATTTGCTGCATCCGATGAGGTTGGTACATTGGACGCCATTTTGTTATAGGATCCCTTTTGTGTGTAAAAGATGTGGATTTTATATAGATACAAGCTTTATCATATAACAAGATAAGTTACACAGATTTCCAAGTCAGTTATGCGGAATGATAACTCATTTACGAGGACAGACAAGTTTGTTATGTAGACTGACAAGTTGGTTACGCGGACTGAAAACTCAGTTATGCGGATTGACAAGTCAGTTACGCGGACTGCCAAGTCAGTTACGCGAACTGATAACTTAGTTATGCGGACTGTCAAATCAGTTACGCGGACTAACAAGTCAGTTATTTGGACTGTCAAATCAGTTACGCATACTGTCAAATCAGTAACTTTTGTGGACTGACAAGTCACTTCCGCGGATTGCCTAAACAATTCTGCAGAATAATGAATACGAATTCCTTTTAATTTGGACAATCATTTTCATTTTTAGAAGGAGTCGAAAGTCATGAAAATGAGTTCAGTCAATGAGGTATTCAAAAAAAGTTTCTCCAACCTGCCATTTTTTTCATAATCTGCAAAGAACCAATCCTAACACCTTCACGTGCATTAAGAAATATATGTACAATCGTTTCCAGTTTTGTTTTGTGGCATTGGGATGCATGATATGTAATCCTTTATAGTATTTTTTTGTTATTTGAAGTTCTAATATGGCTAATATTCTTATCTTTACTTTCATATTCGTACGTTTCTCACGTCTATGATATCAATCATATTCGTTGGTATGGATGAGATTTAGAACCGGAAAACCTGACCGAAACCGAAATCGGACCGGGACCGGAACCGTTAGAATCGGAATATGTAAAACCGGTTCCGGTTCCGAGTTTAAAAATTGGCTTTATCCGGGTTCTGGGTAATCCTGGTTTGGGTCCATCGGGTCCGGGTAAACCGGGTCTAAAAAACGGAACCACTTTTAGGGTTGGAACCGGTTTTTATGAAACGTTTAAAAGATGCATATCTCATTCGTTTCAACTCCGATTGACATGCGGTTTTTCCAACATATAGTTTAGAGTTTGTACATTATTTTAGACTATCAATTTACCATTTTAAGTTTTATATTCATTGACTTACAGTCCCCCGAAGTCGAGAGATTAAATCTGGAAGTTTTTAGTTTTTTAGTTTTTTTGTATTCGGTGAAAGTTTTAAAACATGCATATCTGATTCGTTTGAAGTCGAATTGACATGTAGTTTTTTTTTCAACTTGTATTTTATGGTTTGTACATGAGTTTAGACTATAATTTTGTCATTTTTGGTTTAATATTTAATGATTTACAGTCCTCCGAAGTCAGGATATCAAAACTGAAAATTTTCAACTTTTTAGCTATTTGTTTTTGTACTTTGTATTATGTGAAAATGTTAACACATGCATATCTCATTCGTTTAAATCCGGATTTGATGCGGTTTTTTCCGGAGTATATTTTAGAGTTTGGACATGATTTTAGACTATAATTTTGTTAATTTTTGTTTCATATTCAATGAGTTACAGTCCTACAAAGTCGGGATATAAATATGAAAATTTTCAAAGTTCAACCCACTAAGCAGTAAGTAATTACCAAAAAAATTCGGTTTTTCTGGGTTTTCCGGTTCTAAACCCACTTTATACGGTTCCAACCTACCCACTTTGATGTTTCCGGGTTTTCCGGTTCTAGACCCACTTTACCCGATACCATACCCGAAACCGGTTCCTACATACCGGTCTGGTTTTCGGTTCTTCAAAATCTCATTAATCGGTTTTGGGTTTTCTGGGTCCGGGTTTGGACCCACTTTCATCCCTATTCGTTGGTCACGTAACTCTAATTGAGACGTGTATAAAATTTATGTACATTGTGGTTGCTTTAGATGGAAATCATGAACCCCTTCTCATATTGTTTGCTTTGGGAACCATAAACTGTGACGAGTCATGGTTATGGTTCATGAGTAGGCTGAAAGAATATTGAGGTGACAATACGGAAGTTGGTTTCATAAGCCATATGTTTGATTCCATAGACTTTGCAGTTCAGAGAGTCTACCTGACTGATTCATAATACGACTATTGTTGTAAAGATATAGCTGAGAAAATACGCGCTTCCACCGGAAACAATACAGTTGTGGAGCAGTTGTTCTGGAATACATGTAAAGTGTATAATATGTCTGATTTTTATGCATGTTTGAACAACTTACAAAATGAGGTGAATGCTAATGATCTTGATTGGCTTGATAAAATTCCCATTGCAAAATGGGTACGGTTTTTTCCCTAAAGTATGTTTCAATGTTAAATTCATTGACATTCCCGATGTTGTCATTTGGATAAGAACAAACAGGCATGATTTACCAATAACAACAATCATTCAAATGGTTCATGACTCGATGCAAGGAGTGTATGTTCAACGTGCTACATTCGGAGTTCATTTCACATGGGATTTTCATGGTCTTCTAATACTTTATACACTTAAGGTTCTTCAAAAAATATTTATCCACTTTGATGGTTGTAGGGTTAGGCATATTGTTGGCGACATATATAAAGTGCCTAAGTATTTAACCACTGAATCCATGCAGTTAGACCGTGGTATTTGTACTTGCGGAAAATGGCAAAAATACGGTGTACCTTGTGATCATGTTGTAGCATCACTACAAAGGCTTGAATTTGAAGAAATCCAGCAAATGGTAAACTTAAAGTTAACTAATGCGGTGTATCGACATGGTTTTCAAACTGAGACGGTGAATCCTATTAAAATCCTTATGCATTGGGAAATACCAGTTGAAAGTGTTGTCATTTTACCTCCAAAACAATTTTCTGAAATCGTAATGTATGGATCACAATGAAATATTAGTTGGTACTTTGTTCTATGGGTTTCAAACTCAGACGGTGGATCCTATTACAAACTCTGCCCACGTCATCTCATCTACACCTTCTGACCTTACCTCGCGGGTAACCTCCTGCCACCAGTCCCTGACCCAGTCTCTCAACATACAAGATGCAAACCCCACCTTTGCCGCTTCAGGGCAAAAGCTTGTGCAATGGGAATTCTTCATGTCTGCAACCCATCTTCAACTCGTGATGGGTCCCTGACCCCAAATAACTTAGGCGCTCCACACGCCTTAAACTCCTAGAATGAGGGAGCTCGAGCCCCAATCTGGCATGCATCAATCTCGGCTTGAAAAGACCTGGGTCACTCCTCTATGATATCCATAATACCCTCCTTGACGATCCCAAAAATCATTGGGGTAGCGTCAAGAATGCCACGAGTCACCTTGGTTGCGATAAGATCGAGCAACCTCTCATCAATGGGCTCTGCACCGGAGCCTGACTCAGATCCCCATCCCCAACCTCGAGTGATCATCACCATCCTCAACTGAAAATACCACAAATCATAATGATAAGGATATTCGAAAAATGGAATCCCTCGACCTCATTGATTTCCTTAGAGCTTCCAGATCCAACATTGGTTCAGGTAATAGTCATGTGCTTTTAGTAGTATGAGCCCAATACTACCTTCCACACCTACCTATACATTCCCCAAGGCTCTACCTAAAACTCCAATTCACCCTCAAACAAAAGCATGACCCACATAATACTGCATAACTCGCATCCTAGGCTATCCTAAGTTTTCCTTCATCTCCATCAATCAGGACTCAAATCAATAGCAGTTTGCCCTATGCACGCAAGTTAAACACAAATAAAATCATATAGACCTTCAAATAAGCTTCCATCCTATACCACAATCCAGAAAAGGAATAGTAATAAGGCAGACTTCATCATTCTAGGGCTATGCAACCCCAAACTTATACAACTTTGAAAGCATACACATAGCAATTCTATCCAATTATCAATTTCCAGATATAACTCTAGCATGGCTAACATATTAGGGAAATATTTACTTGAGCTCGGCTGATTACACCATTGCATACTCCCTTTTCCCATATAAAGAAATCTGTTTCAAAAAGTTTTAACTTTTGGTTTAAAAAAAAACAATTTTACCGTTCCCTCAATTTGAGTTCTAACACACCCGAGAGTGTGTCTGAATCCCTCAAACCAAGGCTCTGATACCATTTTGTAACAAACCAAATTTTTTAATAAAAAATTCCATTTAAATAATAATCCATGTTCCTTAATTGTAAATACCAAATTTTTTCAAAAATCCATTACATCGATTAAATCATTCAAAAGATCAGAGTGTCCATAACAAAACGTTGGAGAGTGTGTGCGCCATCATGACGGGCCCTTGCCCTTAGATTCCGAAGTACATGAAACAACCAACAAATGTAAGTTAATTCTTAGTGAGTTCCTTATACATACCACACATACAATCATATAAGTCCACATACACCATGTATACCAACAATCATATAAGGATGCCACAGAAACCCTCATTGGTCTTACTCTGAATGTCATTGGAACCCCCACATGGCCTTAACCAACTGCCATGGGAACCCCCACATGGTCTTGCCCAGCTGCAATGGGAACCCCAATACGGTCTTCACATAGACAACACATCCACAATAACCATTACAACTACATAATATGGGCCGGCCTTGGTGCCTTAGACCCATTGATATGGTGAGGGAAACTCACCTTAAATACTCATAATAACTGAATATGTCATGGCTCCAAGTATCAACTCCACCCAAGCCCTAAACATAAGCAACTATTAGATTCAACACAATACTTAAACCGTACGAGTCAACCTTGGTCAGAGTCAAAGTCAACACTCCGAGTTTACCCAACTCGTCAAGTTCCCTGTAAAGGCAGACTTGCGATATCGTGATCCAACTTGTCGAGTTTCCCTACAACTCATCGAGTTTCCCCCCTTCCAACAAAATCGTGACAACTCCAAACCAACTCGTCGAGTTCCCTTACGGACTCATCGAGTTCTCCAATCTATCGACCCACTTAATGTATTAAGCCATTTTTCTGGTATCTAAGGACTCCAAACCTCAAATCCCTTCCAGAATGTTGTCTAGAAGGGTAAAGTTTCAAACTTTACCCTTAAGAACCAACCACAAGGCTTAAAACCCAAACTCTACTTCTTTAAATAGGGCCTTGACCCATTAACCCCCTAAACTCCCACTACAACGTTCCAAAATACAAATATGATGTCCCAAGGTGGGCAAATCACATAAAGTTTCCAACTTTACATCCGTGCATGCTAGAAACACATTCTAAGGTTCATTTTTTTGCTCCATAACAGACATATTGCATGAATAAGACATGGAGGCCATTAAAGTTTGCAACTTTAAGCGTTAAGGGGTCATGTACAGGTCAAATCTACGCCATCAACCCCCTGGAAACCTCTTCTCTTTGGACAACTCAACCAAGGTCCCAACTCTCAAGCTAAAACTTCAAGAAAATATATCTAATAAGCTACATGCCAAAGTGACGACTTTATACCTCAAAGATGTAGCCTCTGATGAAGAGTTTATGGATTTAGAGTCACTCCTCCAAGCTAGGTGCTTCACTCTTCAATACTATTTTTCAAGAACCACCAACAAACACTCTTAAGCTCACACTACTCAATATGCAAGAAGGAAAACGATTATAGGGTTTTCTCTGGGCAACGGAGGCTGGTAAGAAGGCCAACCAAAGAAGTTAAGTCCTTTATATAGGGTGCAACACCCGGAAATTAGGGTATTTTCTTCCTACGCCAACTCGTCAAGTTGGAACACCCTAACTCGTCGAGTTAGGTCATTAAAATACGTTGCTTGGAAAATCTCTACATGACGAGTTGGATCCTCCCAACTCGTTGAGTTCCATTCAAGACTTGAAAATAATTATATTTATTTCATACTTGCACCAAGCGTTACATACTAGCTCAAGAACACCACCAAGAGACTTAAATATATATTTTAGGGGTTTAGTGGCAATTGAGGTTGGTAAGGAGGCCAACCATGAGGACTTAAGGCCTTTATATAGGTGCAACACCCTAAAAATCAGGGTTTTCTCCACCAGCCGCCAACACGCCGTGTTATGGCATAAACACATTGTGTTGGCCTTAATGAAAGTCGCGTTTCTTCAACTCTAGACACGTCGTGCTGGTTCTTCCAACATGTTGTATCCAACCTTAAAAGGGGATATTATTCCCAATAATTATTCCTAAAGATTTTAGGTGTTACATAAGGTGGGAGCTCATAAAGTTGGCAACTTTATGACTCTCTTGAGTCTCAAGAGCATCATATGTTGTAGATCTAGACTTTGGTTAAAGTTCTTATCGTTGCTTGGGTTTTTGGGCACTTTTAGTTTATTATGACCTAAAATGGATTCTAGACATGTATTGACATGCATATCTATAAGCTTTCATCTTTATGATAATAAGTATATTTGAAAACCATTATGGAGTGGTTGGGTTAATATTTTTCTAAATTATGGACTTAACAGTTTGTACGTGGTGGTATTTGGCTTATTCTAGACATAGGGTTGGAGATATTGTTCTCTTTGGGTTTCTTAATTTATAAACTTGAAACTTTATCCATTTAGACCATATAATGGACCAGATTTGAACTTTGGAGCTCTTGGAATCAAAGAAAGTGGTTTAATCTATTAAGTTACTGGAATGCCCATAGGTTGCCACATCGTGACGACTGGGAATTTCCTATCTTTATGGTCGTATAATGGTCACGACATGGCCAAGAAAGGCCACGATGTGGCAGTTAACTAAAGTCGATGTTGGGCATTGACTTTGACGACTTTTGGTATGGATCGACTTGTGTTCAAATTTCTATTTTTAGAAGGAAGACTTAAGGTATACCTTGTGTGGATTCTTAGGAGGTGTTTAACACCCATATTCTGGCGTTAATATTTGTTAGTTGTGGTTGGCACGGCATTGAGTTGGGTTTTAGTCGATTGTGTGATTTAGGTGAGTTTGCTTATTGTAATTATGGGTCGAAGGCGCCAAAACCGGCCCACTAAGTTGTGTATGTATGACATTAGCTGTCTTTATGACTCTTGCATGTTTGTATGATTCAGTTGAAATAAACCCATGGCTAGGCCCATTATTGTATGATTAGGTTGAAATAAACCATAGGACTGGGCCCATGAGTATGTGATGGGTTGAAAGAGACCTTAAGGCTAGGCCTATGATTGTATTTTGGGTTGGAATATAACATAGGGCTAGGGCCAGTTGTATGTTTGGTATTTGATACTTTGAGGAACTCACTAAACTTTGTGCTTACGATTTTATGTTTATGGTTTCAAATACTTCTGGTTCCAAAGGGAAAGGTCCGACGTGACTGCATTGCACCCCCTCCATAATTTCCACTTCAACTACTTATGGGTTTTACTTTGATGTTTACATGATGCAATCACGTTGATTGATTTTGGAACAATTTATTGTTTTAAAAACGAAAATTTTACTATGAATTTTGGGACGTTACAACATAGCACCCATCCTTGTCCATGTCTGCGAAAGTGATGTTCACCTGCCTCTGATTAATACCATCGGTGTATCGTATGAGATACTTGGCAAAGATTCCTTGGACGTGCAAATCGATAAAGATGTATATAGCTATGCTTGAAGAGAGAAAACGGAGTAAGGATTTTCAGTTCGAAAGAAGAAAATGAATAAAGTAAAAGGGTTGTCGTTTTTGTCTAATTAAAAGCTCTAACAACACAATCACCAATTACATGTAGACAAATTGCGTGGGGTGACAAAGATGTCACCGATTTACCCATTCACATCTTCTAAAATGAGCGATTCAACCTTACAAAAACAACTTTATTCCCTATAAAACAAAAAAAAATGTTTAGAGACTCATTCCACCAATTCCCAAAACATTATAAGGCTAAAATGCTATTTCCCCTTATAAAAACACATGTTCCATCGAACGTT